GGCGCTTCTTGCTCTGTAAATGGTTATTCTGGACCCAAGTCAATATAAGCTTCAGCAGCTGACTGCGGCCTTGCTTACCGCCCCCAAGACGGGCAGCGGCACACTCAATCGTCGACTTCTTGAGCTTGATGCTCCGCAAATCCTCCGGCGAGATCGAGTCTCGGTTGTTCTTCAACCAATCTAAAAATATCTTGGCCATCTCATCCGTAGACGAGCGGTCGCCGTCACCGTCTTCTCTGTCCTGAGGAGGCGGCGGAAATGGGGGTTGAAGACCGGCGTCGTAATCGTCGGGGAAGAGGAAGGAGGGGTCCAAGGGGTTTGACGGGTCCCACAACTCGATGTCGCCAAGAGTTCTGAGGCTGCATGTGGGCTTCTTGGGCCAGGCCTTCGTTAGAAAACAAGGCCCAAGATGAAGAAGACGACGATGAAGATGAGGCCGAGGATATTGATGGGTTTCTGTTGGAATTGAGGTTGGTGGAGGAGTTGGCGGTAGGAGAGGAGAGGCATGGGAAGTCTGGGAGAGAGGAGAAGATGAGATCTTCGTCGGCAAACATCAGATCTTCGTCGTTGATGTCGATCATGATATCGACATCATTACCTTCTTCTAATTTCTCATGATTTTTCTCTGATCTTTTTTCTTCTGCTATTGTTTCCTTCTCAGTACCAGGATCCATCGTTCTACACACAGGTTTTTTTTTTTTTTGGGGTTTTTTTGGTACTCCCTTTTCAGATCAGAAAGGAGAAATCCAACAAAAAGAACTCAAATTGAGGGGGCAAAAATATGTGGAGGTTTACAGCAACAGAAACAGCCTGAAAAGGGCAAGGGTTTGCATGGCGATTAGGGTTTCTGTTTCTATTTTTGGTAGGGAATGAAAGCAACAGAAGCAACTTGCCTGAGCCCACCTTGTACTTGTAGGAGATAAATTAAAGTAAATGAAAGCGACCGTCTCTTCTTTTTCTCTTCGCAAACCCCACAGGAAAATTAACACAAAACCCAGAACGGAGAAAAAACTTTTGTTCTAGTAAAAACCAGTGCAATTTGCAGCAAGAAGAAGAAGAAAAGGAACAGATCGTCGAGGGAGGTGGGGATCGGAGAAGATATCGGAACCGCCGACACGGTTAAAAAAAAACCAACTCTAAAGCACTCGCTCGCTGCCTTCACGTTCTCTCTCACTCTTGCTTGCTCTCTTTTTTTCTCTCTTATCTGAGTTCAACAGGTGTGGATAAGTACAAACCCGAGCCCAGACCAGACCAAATTCAGGCTTAAACCTTTTCTGCACTAATCAACAAAAATTGTTACAAAACAAGTCTTAAAGTCCAGCCTAGTCGAGTAAAAATTTGTAATTGGGTAAACTCTAGAAAGGTTCTCTATACTAAGTAGATATTCACCTACATTTAATGAGGACATCAAAGAAAGAAAATCTTGTAGAAATCTCCTTGTGAAAAATGAGGGAGGATTAGTATGTGCAGTGTAACTTTTAAAATTGATGAGCAATAATCATGAACACCTGCCATAGTTACTAATATTAATACGTTTAAGATCTGTGTGAGATGTGTTCTAGTTTTTTCCTATCTATATTTTCACTTAGAACCCTGTAAATGGTTTTTTTCATCTACATGCATCTAATGCTTTCCTAAACTCCCGAACTGATTTTTATATAAAGTAGCGTTGGTTGTATAATATAAAGATTTTTGAATTACAAAAAAAAGTAAGAATGTTGATGTTAAAAATAACCAAACAGTCAAATATATGGGGGTGTGATTGATTTTGGGGCCGCTCACTCCTCCGAATATCTGGTTTTGAGTTGAATACCTTTCAGCCTGTACAAGTAGTAACTCGTGAGAGGACAGTTCTCCCATTGTACCTCCGACGATCAAGTCAGCTGATGAACTTGAGTAGAAAAATAAAGAACTATGAGAGTTCTTCAGTGTAGTGCAGTATGATTAGCAGATATTGTTTGGAAAAATAGCCTGAAAATGGCTTAGAAATTACTAGGAAAAAGAATCCTTTTCAAAAAAAAGATCCCCAGGAAAAGAATCCCCTCTATGTTGAGAATAGTACATTTATTTGTAGTGATGCTGAAAGGGTAGAACTGTCATTTCAGCTGAGCACAAGATGGCGGTAAATAAGCATGGGCCGATGGCTACGTCAACACCTACTTTACACGTGTCGGTCGGCGAGTGGAGGAGAGATCACCTCAGCATTAAATGAGAAGTGATTGGAGGTATAGCGGTGCTGACGTGGTCTGATGAGTCGTGAAGACTATCAGAGCTAGAGGTGTGATGTGCCTGTCAAACATTAAATGTGACGCCGACGTGCTGTTAGCGGGAGAGGCTCGAGGCTGAAGTCGTCCTTTAGCTTGGTCGAGAAGTAACGCCTTTCGAGTCGACCTCGTAAGACGTCAAATAACTGGTCGAGTGGGATCACAACGAGTCATCTTCGACAAGAGGACCGACAAGTACCGCCTTTCGAGTCGATCTAAGGAGATGTCGACTCGGCAGGTCGGCTAAGTCGAGATCATTGGTAGTTTTGACCGTCAATTTGGTTTGAGCGACGCATGCAGAGGGACATCTGTCCGTTGTTAGCAAAGAGCCATACTTTGGCGACTAAGAACACCATAACAAAGAACATAGTAAATTGAATGTAAAACAATAAAAATAAAGAAATTACAAAATAGTTTTTTCGTATTCTAACTTGTAGAGAATATATACAATTATGTAGGTGGATGAATAAGACTGCTTTATTCAGTGGGACCCACAAGTAAAAAGATTTTAATATAACTTTTTCATGATAAATTCAACTTAATTTTTGAATGTCTCTCAAATAACCTCCTTAATTTTTAATTTTTCAAGAAACTCTCCCAGCGTGAGGTTCTCAAAATGACCCCTTCAATTTTCAATGTTTTTAAAAAAAAAATCTATTTGTAATTTGTGTACTCTCACTTATTTTTGGCAACACTTATATGCATGTACGTTTTTGAAACTTTAACTTATATATCGTCACTTGTTTTGACAACACTTATATACTTTAAAGTTTTTAAAACTTGCACTTAAATACTCTTAGTTATGCAAACTTAAGGGTGTTTAAATGCAATATTTAAAAACTTTAGAATATTTAAATGGCCTTTTTAAAAACCATAGGGTGTTTAAGTAGAAGTTTTTCAAACTTTATGGTAATTAGTACTGTTGGGATATATTAGTTAAGGTTTTAAAAAATTTACTATATGTAAGTGTAGGCTATCTAAAAATCATAACAGATAGCTAATCCATATCAAACACCGATGATGGAAGTTACAATTCGATGGCTTTCAGAAGGCTACAATTTAAAGACTTTCACGTAGATTGATGAAGGTTATAATCTGACGACCTTTGTAATAACTGATGAAAGCTCTAATCAACAGCCTTCACAATCAACATCGGTTACAATCAACATCGGTTTTTGAGTACACGAACACTGCGTTTTTAATTAAGGGGGCGGTTACACCATTAATCCCCTATAAATAGGAGTAAACTCAACTGAGTTCAGGTCCTTCAGCCTTCGACTTGGCAGCGAAGAAGAGATCTTTGGCTGGTTTTTAAGGGGAATTGCCAGAGCTTTGGAGATCAACAACATAAGTTTTCTTCATACTTGGCTTACAAATCGATTTTCGATTAAATCAATCAACTCTTCCATAGAGTTATAACTCGCTCAGAGTTCCCTAACTCATTAAGAGTTTCAAACTTGCTCTGCAAGTTCTTCTAAACTCGTTCAGAGTTCTAAAACTTGCTTTGCAAGTTTTTTACAGCGTTAAATCGTGAGGAGGAGATACTGTTCCAGTGAATCAAGACGTTAGGATCGTCAACGGAGAGCAAACTCAATGCGAGCATTCGAGGGAGGCACTACATCGCCACCGTGAAGAACACAGAATTAAACAAAGAGGAGAATTCAGATCAATTGTCTTCTCTTTTGTAATAAGGAATTCAAATTGTAATCAGAGATTGAGAGAGTTGTAAACATTCTTTTTCTAAGCAGTTAGAGAGAATAAAATTAAACACAGTTCTTTCATTTTTATTTCACAAATTTTCCACCAAACAATATGTGCTCTAAAAAAAGTGAAGGTATGCAAGTACAATATTAGGGACACTGTAAGGTATTTAAATGCAATTAAGCTTTTTTATTAACATCAAACACATTCTAATAACATAAATCTCGTCTTTTTTTTTCCTTTTTGCCGCTTCTAAGAAATCTTCATTTTTGTTCAATATAAAAAATTAAAACACATTCTCATAGCATAGAAACTTTACAAAATTTAACTAAATTTCCACAATAAAAGAAGGGAAACTTGAAGGCTGACAAATGAGAGCGAGTTAATTTTCAGCTGGTCCGTTCTTACAGTGGGCCCCACACCGCAGTCCTCACTTTATTTACGTCTTCTTTTTTCCTGGTTTAGGACTCTGCGCCCCCACAGCGCCCGCCATCCGTACGAATCCCAGTGGCGCCAGGAGCGGCGCCTAAGACCGGATCCCGCTGTTCAGTCAAAAACACCATTCACTCAACTTCCATTGGCTGCTGCACTATCATTTGTTTACATTGCTGTTTGCTGTTTTGGATAAGACGGAGAGACGCAGGTGAGATCTTTGTTCCTATGGTGGCATGCTGGGGTGGTGCTTGAGATTCGTGCTGATGGCGTCAATCGGTTATTAAAGTACAGCTGTCTCCCGAGACAAGCTTGGATGGACGAAATGCTTATTTTGTAATGGAAGCAAACTGTGTTCCTATACAATGTGCATTCGGCATTGGATAAAATCGGTCAAAGACACGTAGAGCATGGATTTGGATCTGTCTTATTTATTTTCCGAAAATAGTGTAAAGTAGCACTGAGATTATAGCGTTTGACTATAATTAACATTTTATCATTAATCAATGAATGAGCTAGCGTTACATTATGAATAATAGTTTAACCATAGTTTCTATTAGAAACGTATAGATATGTCTGTCAGCATTATTACATCTTTAAAATTTGGGTATAGTAACAGGGCGTTTTTTAAGTGCATAGTGTCAGAGCAATTCATATTCAAATTCCATCGATCATATTTAAATGTGGATTTAAAAAATTATACCACTATGTGCGTTCATATTTTAGCCAATTAAAAAGTCTTCAATCTCACGTACGATTCTGGAATTATAATGCAGGGGCAGGCCGATTTTGACGTTTCCTAATTAATATTGTAGCCAATTCACTATTATTATTATTATCAATTTTTTTTCCCAATCGAAGAGCTACAACCAATCAAGAAAATAGTGATTTCTCTGCAAGCTTTTGATAACAAATTAGTGACTTCCTTAAGTGCGGGCTGCATTTTGTTGAGTCGGTGATCGACGTCGTTATTTGCCGTTGGGTGGTGGAAGACGCTGAGCTTTTGAATTCAACGAAGTAATTAATTTTGATCATCATAATAAATAAATACATTAGAAAATTTAGTACAGACAGTGGCAAGAATTGTATCGACCGCCTTAAGTGCGAGCTTGGGGTTGGAAACCAAGAGCTGCAGCTTTCACGATTTTTGTCGCCATTCGTTGTTTAAACGGCGGGTCCAAAAAGGAGCTGCAACGTGTCCCACCGCGCTCGTGATGGTGACGTCAGCTAGAAAGCCCTTTCTTCAGCCCTCCAACTCCTACTGTTCCCACGTGCTC